GGGTAGAGAGAGAAGAGGGGAGGAGAGGGGAGGGGAGGGGGGATAGTAGAGGATAGGAAGAGGATAGAACACAACAGACACTAGTATGGCAATATGTAAATCAATGGATGTGTAACTGATGTGATTCTGAAATCTGTATATATGTAAAGATGGGAGTGCATAACCCACTTGAATCAAAGTGTGAAATATGATATATCAAGAAATATGTAATGTTTTGAACAACCAACAATAAAAAAATTAAAAAAAATGCAACATATCAAAATCTCTGGAACACTACGAAGGCAGATATAAGAGAAACATTCATTGCATGGAGTTTATTCCTTAAAAGAAGAAAAAGTCAACAAATAAATGACCTAACATTACACCTCAAAATCCTAGAAAAAGAAGAACAATTCAACCCCCAAAATCAGTAAAAGATAAGAAATAATTAAAATCAGAGATGAAATCAATGAAACTGAAACAAAAGAAACAATTGAAAAAATTGACAAAAAAAAGTTGGTTCTTGGAAAAAATAAATAAAATTGATAAGCCATTAGCGATGCTAATGAAGAGAAGGAGAGAAAACACTAAAATTAATAACATCCATGATGAAAAAGGAAATATTATGATGGACACTAAAGAAATACAGCAGGTAATTATAAATAATTTCAAAACTGTGTACTCCAATAAAATAGAAAATACCAAAGGGATTAACAAATTTCTAGAGGCATATGATATGCCCAAACTAAAACCGGGTGATATACACAATTTAAACAAATCAATTTAAAGCAAGAAAATATAGGACACCATCTGAAGACTACCTACCAAGAAAATCCCAGGACCATATGGACACAAAGCTGAGTTATATAAGACCTTTAAAGAAGAACTAATACCAATAATTTTCAAACTATTCCATGAAATAGAAAAAGACGGAACACTTCCAAACACATCCTATGAAGCCAGTATCACCCTGATTCCAAAACCAGACAAAGGCACATCAAAGAAAGAAAACTTCAGACCAATATCTCTAATGAATATATATGCAAAAAATCTCAATAAAATTCTGGAAAATCGAATACAAAAACATCAAAAAATTAGTGCACCATGATCAAGTAGGGGTCATCCAAGGGATGTAAGGTTGGTTCAACATGCAGAAATCAATAAATGTAATTCATTACATCAATAGACTGAAAGATAAAAATCACATGATCATCTCAATAGATGCAGAAAAAACATTTGATAAAATACAGCATCCTTTCATGTTCAAAACCCTAGAAAAACTAGGGATAACAGGAACATTCCTCAACAATTCCTCAATTGTAAAGGCAATCCATGCTAAGCCCCAGGTCAACATCATTCTAAATGAAAAAAAAAAAAAAAATGAAAGCATTCCCTCTAAAAACTATAACAAGACAGGGATGCCCTCTATCACTACTTCTATTTAACATAGTTCTTGAAACTCTAGCCAGAGCAATCAGATAAATGAAAGAAATTAAAGGGATATGGATAGGAAAAGAAGAACTCAGATTATCACTATTTGCAGACAAGATGATCCTATACTTGGAAAACCCAAAAAGTTCCACCAGAAAACATCTAGAACTAATAAATAAATTCAGCATAGTAGCTGGATATAAAAGCAGCACCCATAAATAAAAGGTATTTCTGTACATCAGTGACAAATCCTCAGAAAGAGAAACTAGGAAAACCACCCCATTTACAGTAGCCTACAATAAAATAAAATAAAATATTTGGGAATAAACTTAAGAGCTGAAAGACCTCTACAATGAAAACTACAATATGCTAAAGAAAGAAATTAAAGAAGACCTTAGAAGATGAAAAGCTCCACCTTGCTCTTGAATAGGCAGAATTAATATTGTCAAAATGACCATATTACCAAAAGCACTATACAGATTCAATGCAAGACCAGTCAAAATCCCAATGACTTTTCTCATAGAAATAGAAAAATCAATCATGAAATTCATATTGAAAAATAAGAGACCCAGAATAGCAAAAGCAATCCTTAGCAAGAAGAGTAAAGCTGGCGGCATTATTATTCCAGACCTAAAACTATACTACAAAGTAATAGTAACAAAACAGCATGATATTGGCACCAAAATAGACCTGTAGACCAATGGTACAGAATAGAGGTCACAGAGTCTAACCACATTACTGCAGTTATTGTATATTAGACAAAAACATATTGTTTGGCATATATTGTATACGTGCCCAAAACATACATTGGAGAAAAGATACTCTCTTCAACAAGTGGTGCTGGGAAAAGTGGAATCCACATGTAACAAAATGAAATTAAATCTCTACCTCTCACCATGCACAAAACTCAATTTAAAGTGGATCAAGGACCTAGGAATTAAACCAGAGACCTTGTGCCTAATGGAAGAAAAACTAGGCCCAAATCTCCATCATGTTGGAATAGACCCCAATTTCCTTAATAAGACTCCTATACCACAAGAATTAAAACCAAGAATCAATAAATAGGATGGATTCAAACTAGAAAGCTTTTACTTAGCAAAAGAAACATTCAGCAAGGTGAATAGAGAGCCTACAGATTGGGAGCAAATTTTTACCACAAGCACTACAAAATAGGGCTAAGTGGTCGAGTGTCATTGAGTTCAGTCCCAAGTACCCCCCTCAATATATATATATATATATATATTATATATCTTGAGAAAAAATTTAAAAACACAGCAAAGCAAAACTTATAGGATATGTCAAGGGAAGTCACAAAAGAACATTTAGAACTAAAAATACCTATATTAAGGGGGAAAAAACTCAAATTAACAACTTTATAACTTAAAGAACTGGAAAAGAATAGATGAACTCTAGATAGGGCAGAAGGGTGGGAGGGGAAGAGAGGGGGTAGGGGGTTAGCAATGATGGTGGAATGTGATGGACATCATTATCCAAAGTACATGTATGAAGATATGAATTGGTGTGAACATACTTTATATCCAAACAAAGATATGAAAAATTGAGCTCTATATGTGTAAAAAGAATTGTAATGTATTCCACTGTCATATATTTAAAAATAAAATCAATTAAATATTTTTTAAAAAGAACTGGAAAAGAACAGACTAAATTCAAAAGTAGCAGGAGGAATAAAACAAATATAGAGTAGAATACATGAAAGCCTAGAAAAACAATTAAACAGATAAACAAAAATGACTTGGTTTTCTTACAGAATTTTTAAAACATTGATAAGCCTTCAACAAATCTATAAAAGAAAAAAGAGAAAGGACTCAATTAAAATTGTAAATGAAATTATAAATTTGCAATTTGCAACAACATGGATGAATCTGGAGGGCATTAATCTAAGTGAAAATATCAGGCAAAGAATGGTAAATACTGTACGAAACCAATTCTGTATACAATCTAAAAAAGTGAGCATCAAGAAAAGGAGAGCAGAATGGCAGTTGATAGGGGTTGAGAAGTGCAGGGAAAGGGAATAAGTTGGCCAAAGGGTATAAAATTTCAGTTAAAATATAAATAAGTTCTGGACACCATGGTGACTACAGTTAACAATATTATGTTTCATAGCTGAATTTTGCTTTTTTTATAATTTTTATTGGTGTATTATAAGCATACATAATAGTGGAATTCATTGTGATATGTTCATAAATGCACATAGCATAAATTTGTCTCCTTCAGAAAGAGCTTAAGTGTTCTTACTAAACACAAAATAATGTAAACTATGTTAAGTAATGGAAGGTTAGATAACTTGATTTTAATAATCATTTCACAGTATATATGAATATCAAATCATTACTTTGTAACCTAAATATATAAAATTTGTATTTCCAAATTATGCATCAATAAAGCCAAGAGGGGAGAAGGGAAAACAGATAAGTGGACAAACCACATCATATAATTTATGTCCATAAATATACCCTTAGCATTCAGACAGAGATTAAGGAACAGGCTCAAGTGTATTCTATGTATGCACAAAATAGGTCTCCAGTGTACTCTTTGTCATATAGAAAATGTCATTTTATGAATAAGCAAATGAATGAATAAACAAATAAATATGTAAACAGTTTTCTCAAAAAGTAAAATAACAACATACTTAAAAGTCTATGGAATTTCTTTCACATAAAGAGGAACTTAATAGTTATCTCTAGAATAATGGACATGAATCCAATAACATGTCCATGAAAAAAGGTGTTTGATTCATAAGTAGATCTTCATCATTTCACAAATTGTGCTTTGAACATGAGCACAAAAAATATCATTCCAGCCCCATTGTTTACGATAATTTAACACAACACAATGCTCTTGGACCCTGTTGGGCTCACCTAGATGCCAGAACCTGAAACAGAGAAAAAGCATGAGGTTATTCTTCCAGAACTGCTTTTAAAGGGGTTAGAGACAGTTATGGGGCCATAGGCTGGGGTGGAACTTTGTGGAAGTCAGGGTCAAATATGCCCAGACCAACACTTCCCCACTTCTCATGCAGTTTTTCCTCCATCAAAACCTTTCATATTTCCCTCGAAAACTGTGCCCACATCACTTAACATTTTCTCATACCTTATTGCAGCAAACATTTCACCTAAAGACATCCCAGAGATTGTTTTCTATTTGTGCATCCATAGTCCTATGCCAGGGACTGTCAATCACGTGGCTTTGTTATATAATGAAGAGATATCAATCTGGTCTCATTATCAATATAGTTCTTTTTCCCCCTTTTTACAGGAATTATTTTGGAGTCAAAAGGCAAGCAAAATCTCTAGAGAGCCTACTTATTCTTGTTTTTTTTGACAAATAATTTCATTTCTTTGATTCTCAGTTTGCCCATCTAAAAATTGAACCAGAGTAACAGCACTATATATTTCACAAAGAAGATATGAGGATCAGAGGTAGAAGTATACTAAAATATTTTTAAAGATAATATAAATGTGGGTCTGGGATGTGGCTCAGTGGTAGAGCGTTCACCTCACACGTGCAGGTGAGTTTGATCCTCAGCATCACATAAAAATAAATAAAGAAATTGTATCCAACTATAACTAAAAAAATAAATATTTATTAAAAAAAAGATAATATAAATGTTGGATATTGTAATGGTATCAGAAGTTAGGATTTCTGCTTTATGAGAAATATTAAATCATAATTTTAAAATAATCTGTAATGATCTTAATAAGCATGTACTTATATTAAGGAGATATAAATAGGTTAAAAGCAAAGTACAATATACGTGAATTTGGAAACCATTATTGGATTACCTTAGCTAAATTATCTGTACTCTCCACACTCCACTTTCTCATTTCTATAAAAATGATGTGTATTATATAAGATTTTCTTGATGATTAAATGAGATAATAAAATAATTTAACCAAGTGCCCAAGAGAACAAAAATGAGATATTTGAATTTCATATCTTAGAGCTGGGCACCCTAGATTTTAGACATGATATATGACCCAGGATTCCTTTATCTAATTCTGTACTCACGTGGTATTTTCGTTGTATGGTGTCTGATCAATCCATTGCCAATGTCTCTGACCCTCTGGATCTGACAACCCCACAAAATAAGCATGCGATTTATTCAAATTCCAGGTGATAAAATCCTTAAAGAAAAGAAAAAAAGAAATCATATCTGTAGAATACTCAACCACAACTGGGGTGTTTTGGGGGGTTTGTTGTTGTTTATTTCATTTATTGTTAAATTAAGCTATATACACTATAAATATATCACAAGTAACTTTATGAACAAATATATTCACAAATAAATTATTTTTAGATTGGTAAATTTTAACTATTCTTTTAATTGTATAAATTTATGGGGTAGAGTGTCATAATTTGATTCATACATACTGTGTGTAATAATCAAATCTGGGTAGTTAATATTTCCATCTTCTTTATATTTTTTAAAACTTCTTATAAAAAATAAATAGATTTCCTATACAAAAAACAATGAATTTTCTGAAAAAGAAATGAAGAAAATTATTCCAATCACAAAAGCCTCAAAAAAAAATACCAAGGAATAAATCTAACCAAGGAGGTAAAAGACATCTATAATGAAAACTATAGAACATTGCAGAAATTGAAGAAGAACTCAGAAGACGGAAATAGATAAGATGTTTCTGGACAAGCTGAACAAATATTGTCAAAATGGCCATGCTACCAATAGCAAAATACAAATTCAATGCAATCCTCATCAAAATACTAGTGACATATTTCGCAGAACTAGAAAAAAGAAAAAAACAGTCCTAGAATTCATTCAGAAGAATGAAAGACCCAGAGAAGCTAAAACAATTCTAAGCCAAAAAAAGCAATGCTGAAGGAATCACTCACTATACCTGACTTCAAACTATACTACACAGCTATATTAACAAAAACTGCATAGTACTGACATAAAACATAGACCAATGGTACAGAATAGAAGACAAAGAGACAAAACCACACATGTACAGTCATCTGATCCTTGACAAAGTGCCAAAAACATACACTGAAAAAACAACAGCCTTTGTAACAAATGGTGCCGGGACAACCGGTTATCCATATGTAGAAAAATAAAATTAGACCCTTATCTCTTACCCTGAACAAAAATCAACTCAAAATATATCAAAGACCTAGAAAGTAGAACAAAACCTTGCAACTCCTTAAAGAAAGCATAGGCTCAATACTACACCATATAGGCACAGGCAGCAAGTTTCACAATAGGATGGTATCAAATTAAAAAGCTTCTGTATAGCAAAGAAAACAATTAGGAATGTGAAGAAAGAGCCTAAAGAATGGAAGAAAATCTTTGCTGGTTTCTCTTCTGACATAGGATTAATATCTAGAATATACAAAAAGCTTGAAAAACTTTACCAAAAAAATCAAATAATTAATAGATGGGCAAATGAATTAAACAGACTCTTCTCAAAAGAAGAAATACAAGTGCCCAACAAATATACGGGGAAAAAAGTTCCACATCATTATCAGTTAGGGAACTAAAAATCAAAACTACACTGAGATTTTCATCTCACACCAGTCAGAATGGCAGTTACCAGGAATACAAATAATAAATACTGAAGAGGATGTGGAGAAAAAAGAATGGTGTTACAGTGTTGGTGGGATTGTAAATTCATATAACCATTATGGAAATCATTTTGAAGGCTCCTCAAAAGATTAGGCTTTAAACCAACATATGAACCAGTTATAGCCCTTCTGCATATTTATCCTAAAGAATTAAATTCATCATACTACAGGGATACATGGATACTCATGTTTATAGCAGCACAATTCACAATAGCCAAACTCTGAATCCAATGTCGGTGTCCATCAATAGATGAAAGGATAAAGAAAAGTGTGGTATATATAAACAATGGAGTTCAGCCATAAATAGAAGTGAAATTATGTCATTTTCAGGCAAATGGATTAAACTAAGACCATTATGTTAAGCAAAATAAGTCAAACCCAGAAGGTCAGGGCCCACATGTTTTCTTTCTTATGTACAAGCTAGAGAGAACAAAGCAAAAAAAAAAAAAAAAAAAAAAAAAAAAACGTGGGGGTGGATCTCATAAAAATCAAAGGGAGATCAGTAGAGGAAAGAAAGAAGGGATGGGAAGTGGGGAGGGAGAGAAGTGCTAGGGAAAGATATTGACCAAATTGTATTGTTACATTGTGTGTATATACAAATATGTAACAACAAATCCCATCATTTCTCCAAAGAACGTTTTTGGTACTTTTGTCTAATATAAACTAACTGTAGTTATGTGGGTTAGACTCTGTGTCCTCTATTATGTACCATTGTTCTATTGGTCTATTTTGGTACCAATACCATGCTGTTTTTGCTACTATTGTTCTGCAGTAGTTTTAGGTCTGGTATAGTAATGCCACCAGTTTCTCTCTTCTTGCTAAGGACTGCTTTGGCTATTCTGGGTCTCTTATTTCTCCATATGAATTTCATGATTGCTTTTTCTATTTCTATGAGGAATGTCATTGGGATTTGTATTGGGATTGCATTGAGTCTATATAGTACTTTTGGTAGTATGGTCATTTTGACAATATTAATTCTGCCTATCCAAGAGCAAGGTGGAGCTTTCCATCTTCTAAGTCTTCTTTAATTTCTTTCTTTAGCATGATGTAGTTTTTATTGTAGAGGTCTTTCAACACTTTCTTTAAGTTTATTCTCAAGTTTTCTTTTTGAGGCTATGGTAAATGGAGTGGTTTTCCTAGTTTCTCATTCTGAGGATTTGTCACTGATATACAGAAATACCTTTGTTTTATGGGTGTTGCTTTTATACCCAGATACTTTTCTGAATTCATTTATTAGTTCTAGAAGATTTCTGGTGGAATGTTTTGGGTCTTCTAGGTATAGAATCATATTGTCTGCAAATAGTGATAATCTGAGTTCTTTTTCTATCTGTATCCCTTTAGTTTCTTTCATCTATCTGATTGCTCTGGCAAGAGTTTCAAGAACTATGTTAAATAGAAGTGGTGAAAAAGGTCATCCCTCTTCAACACACCTCTCTCGCCACTGGACAGATCTTCCAAACAAAAGTTGAATAAGGAAACTATAGAACTCAATAACACAATTAATAACCTAGACTTAATTGACATATATAAAATATACCACCCAACGTCAAGCAGTTACACTTTTTTCTCAGCAGCACATGGATCCTTCTCAAAAATAGATCATATATTATGTCACAGGGCAACTCTTAGACAATATAAAGGAGTAGAGATAATACCATGCATCTTATCTGATCATAATGGAATGAAACTGAAAATCAACGATAAAAGAAGGAAGGAAAAATCATGCATCACTTGGATAATGAACAATAGGTTACTGAATGATCAATGGGTTATAGAAGACATCAAGGAGGAAATTAAAAAATTCTTAGAGATAAATGAAAACACAGACACAACATATCGGAATCTATGGGACACATTGAAAGCAGTTCTAAGAGGAAAATTCATTGCTTGGAGTTCATTCCTTAAAAAAAGAAAAAAACCAACAAATAAATGATCTCATACTTCATCACAAAATCCTAGAAAAAGAACAGCAAAACATCAGCAAAAGAAGTAGAAGGCAAGAAATAATTAAAATCAGAGCTGAAATTAATGAAATCGAAACAAAAGAAACAATTGAAAAAATTGACAAAACTAAAAGTTGGTTCTTTGAAAAAATAAACAAAATCGACAGACCCTTAGCCATGCTAGCGAAGAGAAGAAGAGAGAGAACTCAAATTACCAGCATACGGGATGAAAAAGGCAATATCACAACAGACACTTCAGAAATACAGAAGATAATCAGAAATTATTTTGAATCCTTATACTCCAATACAATAGAAGATAGTGAAGGCATCGATAAATTTCTTAAGTCATATGATCTGCCCAGATTGAGTCAGGAGGATATAGACAACCTAAACAGACCAATATCAATTGAGGAAATAGAAGAAACCATCCAAAGACTACCAACTAAGAAAAGCCCAGGACCGGATGGGTATACAGCAGAGTTTTACAAAACCTTTAAAGAGGAACTAATACCAATACTTTTCAAGCTACTTCAGGAAATAGAAAAAGAGGGAGAACTTCCAAATTCATTCTACGAGGCCAACTTCACCCTGATACCTAAACCAGACAAAGACACTTCAAAGAAAGAAAACTACAGACCAATATTTCTAATGAACCTAGATGCAAAAATCCTCAATAAAATTCTGGCGAATCGGATACAAAAACATATCAAAAAAATTGTGCACCATGATCAAGTAGGATTCATCCCTAGGATGCAAGGCTGGTTCAATATACGGAAATCAACAAATGTTATTCACCACATCAATAGACTTAAATATAAGAACCATATGATCATCTCGATAGATGCGGAAAAAGCATTTGACAAAGTATAGCATCCCTTTATGTTCAAAACTCTAGAAAAACTAGGGATAACAGGAACATACCTCAATATTGTAAAAGCAATCTATGCTAAGCCTCAGGCTAGCATCATTCTGAATGGAGAAAAATTGAAGGCATTCCCTCTAAAATATGGAACAAGACAGGGATGCCCTCTCTCACCACTTCTGTTCAACATAGTTCTCGAAACACTGGCCAGAGCAATTAGACAGACGAAAGAAATTAAAGGCATAAAAATAGGAAAAGAAGAACTTAAATTATCACTATTTGCAGATGACATGATTCTATACCTAGCAGACCCAAAAGGGTCTACAAAGAAACTATTAGAGCTAATAAATGAATTCAGCAAAGTGGCAGGATATAAAATCAACACGCATAAATCAAAGGCATTCCTGTATATCAGCGACAAATCTTCTGAAATGGAAATGAGGACAACCACTCCATTCACAATATCTTCAAAAAAAATAAAATACTTGGGAATCAACCTAACAAAAGAGGTGAAAGACTTATACAATGAAAACTACAGAACCCTAAAGAGAGAAATAGAAGATCTTAGAAGATGGAAAAATATACCCTGTTCATGGATAGGCAGAACTAACATCATCAAAATGGCGATATTACCAAAAGTTCTCTATAGGTTTAATGCAATCCCAATCAAAATCCCAACGGCATTTCTTGTAGAAATAGAGAAAGCAATCATGAAATTCATATGGAAAAATAAAAGACC